AGAGCTACCATCAGAGCTGGAACTGGGTACCAGCTATTACATTGTTTCTAAAGTAAGGAATATGCTAACTGTGAGAACTAACTAAAGAAACTCAGAGTAAATTAAAACATTCTATTATAGTAATAAAGGGCACGGGTAATTTTTTTTTACCCTACTTTATTAGTTTTGACAGATCTTCTCTCTCTTCTTTGCTCATAATCTTTCTGGTATTTTGTTTTTTCTTTTTATTTGATGATAGAGTTTATCTAGAAAGAGTCCCCTCTTAAGTCACCTTTCTCTAGGAAGGGTGTCAGGAAAACTTTGCAATCAACATTAGCCAAGTGGTCCCCGAAGAAGAAACGAAGATTTTTAGACAGAAGAGTAATTAGAGGTTCTCACTCAAAATCAGGAAGAATTTGGAGCCAGTAGGTAAAGAAAAGCTGTGGTCATTAGGTAGCAGAAAGGCTCCAAGAGTGAGACACCAGATCTGTAACCTGGGAAACCTCAGGGACTGGAGACTAATACACATTAGACAATGATACCCAAAGTCATTACAAGCAAAACATCATCATCAAATTTCTAGCTCAAGTTTATGCCAAGATCTGAAAATAGGAACACTAGTTGTACTGTCAATCAATGCTATCTAAGGAGCAGTTCTGCTGCTGCTGCTGGAAAGCAGAACTGGAGTCAGCAGGGAAGAAAAGGAAAAATAATGATCTGAAAGTTTAATGAGAGACACCACATTAAAAAAAAAAAAGCAACTTATGGAATCACTTATAATCAAAGCATAACAAAAATAAGTGAAAAAGTATAAAGTCAGAGTTGGACTTATGGAATGTAATCAAAATACTTCATTTTTTGGCTCTTACATGCTTTTTAAAATATTTATTGGGAGGAAAAAACCTTCTCGTACTCCTCCCCCTGAATGGAAAATTGGGTAAATTCCCTGGTTTTGGTATATTTTTCAGTAATTGAAACTCCTTTAAGAAATAATCACTACAAGCAAAGAGAGTCTTCATTTAGTGTTAGAATGTTTCCAGTTCAAGACCATTATCAAATACTTCAGTTTTGTTCTGAACTTTAGGCTAAGACTTATCTCACTCCCTAACACAAGGCTGCTTCGGCTTGCAGCCCTTTGCCTTCAAGCCTTCTCTTAAACTTATCTTCTCCCCCACTAGCTGTTGTTTCATCTGCTGCATAAAAGTGGGAGAAGGGAAAACAGCTAAGGGAGAGGAAAGCTCTTTTTGATAGAAATGGTCAGTATTACCTGAATCTAGCAGATGGTTTCAATTGATTCTTTTTCTAGTAGGGTGTTTTTAAAGGTTCTTTGGAGATTCCTACCATCAGAGACCTCTTAAGTCCCTCTGGTGTAAACAGGTGTGACCATCCCTGTGGATCTTATGATTTTTGTCTTGATTTCTAGCTTCTGGTTACTGGATGCCTGCACACCTCTAGACAGCCATTTTTTGATGACAAAAGGCAACCCCATGTTGCCTACTATAGGGGCAGTACTGCTTCATTTATATACTAATCATTCCTACTAAATATGGGAATGCTGGTGGATCCTGATGCAACTAGCTCCATTTTGTGACTATGTTATAGGGCAACAAATCTGTTATAGGGCACCTCAATTCAGAGAGAGGCACCCCTGAAGCCCCAAAACCTGCCTGCTCTAAGTGGGTTCTGCCATCCGCC